GTGAATCAAACACTAATGTAAAGAAAGAAGATTCCACTTAAATTACTGGTACATCAAGGACTTATGTGATCAGGTGTCTATGTATCTGTGATATTTTATGACCTTCAAATGGTAAAGTAGGGTTCTTGAGGTTTGGTCCATATTTGTTTTGGTTTGCTTAGCTTTGTTTTTCCAAGAAGAGGAAATTATTACTCAGGGAAGGCTTAATGGAGACATAGGAAAAAGACGAGAAAAAATCTCATGTCCTGCAAAATCTATAGCATCCTCTTCTTGGTAGTCAAACAGATCATTTGTAATGTCCATACTGTCAATGTGTAAACATAAGAAAGAAAATTTAGAGTGCAAAACACACACACATATATACTACATTGATATATTTAGGACATCATCCAAAGCTCCCTGGTGTCACTCTAAAAAAAAAAATTAATACATATATTTATATGTTTGTATACACAGATTTGTTTGCTAATGAACATGGAAATGGTGTTGATGGAGAAGGAGAACTAAGAAAGCCTGAGAAAGTGAGAAGGAAAGTGACAAAGTCTATTTAAGAATAACAATTAGAAATAAGCTGGTTCAGTGGCTCTTGATTTAATACTTCTGGACAACTCCCCACAGGAAATCAAGAATTAGAAATCAGTGATATGTGCTTTGTTCATCTCCTCATCAATGTGCTGAGCATGAAAATAGGATCTAATTTAATGAAACAAACAGCTGACCCTATGAGCTGATCACATGATGTGCGTGCAGAGTACTTAAATTAACATAAAGGTCTGAATATGAAAATAATAAAACCACATCTGTTACAGAATCTTATATTTTTTAGTATGATGTTGTTTGTTTTTTTTTTTCCTCCTTGTGGATTTCTGTCTTGTATTTGAAATTTCATAGTTACAACGTGCATTTCCACTGAGTCCAATGAGGTAGATAAGAATTTGCTTCAATTTTCCCTAGGTCTATTATTCCACTCCCAAAAGAGAGTAAAGAATGAGATTTTTGTGGGTTAGTTTTTTAAAACAAGCAGGAAAAGGTATTCTTATTTGCTGATGTAACAGAAGCAATATGTGGCAGAATGTATTCTGGGATCATATTCTTTAGACAATAAAATTTCCTAATAGGATGATAAAGACTAAGGGTATTTAATGAGACCGTTGTACAGAAAGAAAGAAACAAGTAGCCTTGTGAATAAAAATGTCTTAAATCTTAAATAGTTGATAGTTTTTGGTTAGCAAAAATTCTATTTGAAGATCCTGTCCATAAATAGGTGGAAACTCTGAATGCAATGTCAGCTGCATGGTAATAAATACTTTGTTTACCTGCTCAGTGCTGAGGTCAGGACTCTCTGACCTGTCCTTAACAGTGATTCCATTACATACTTTACCCTCACATGAAAACTGCACATGCATAAAAAATATTAATAACTTTTCATGGAATTCTGCCATGGTTTTTTTTGTGTCAGGGCCTTAAGTTATTATTTAAACTTCTGTATGCATCTTTTAAGGGGCAATGGCAAAGAAAAATATGTAATGAGATATCCATAATCAGACTTTTGACATGCTCCCATCATTACTTGGTACTGCCTACATTTTTTTTTTTTGATTCAGGTTAGTGTACCATAGGTTAAGTTCAATCTATTTATCTAGTGTGCAATACTAGATGAATATATGACTAGATATGCAATACCCTATACTAAATGCAGTGTATTTTAGACACCTTTGAAAGTCCATCAGTGTCACTTGGAAAAATGTGATTAAATTCACGCCCACGGTGATCTGGCCTATGAGTTGTATGATAGACACATCTGTCTCTTTACTGAAATTGCACGTTACCAGGTTGATCCAACCCTCAGTATATTTATTCACAAATGGTGCAACTCATGTAATGTGATATCGAGTCTTGGGAGCTTGAGATGGAGACTGTGTCTGACTGGGTATTAAGCATGTGTGCGTATATGTGTTTGCACTTAAGACCTGACTACTTATTTTTTGAGAAAATCTGTGTTTTATAGGTGTGAAAACTACATATAAGTGCACAAAGTCAAACATTAAGAAAACAACATACTTGCAGGTCTTCACTGTTCAGAAAAGATAGTTCAGCTTGGTTAAAAATAGGCAGAAAAAGTCAGAAAAAGGGAAAGACTATTATAGCATGTGTGGGTAGATAGCTAACATCATAGAAAAAAATCACTCCCCAGTTTGATATGTTTATTGTCTTGCCCTTTAGATAACAAGTTCTCACTTGGACTTGATGCTGTTCTGGAAAGCACAACACTAATTAGCAACAACAACAAAAAATCCAAACCCCAAACCCACAATGAAGTTAATTCTCCTCAGAATCAGTAGAAGAAAAAACAAAAGGAGGTGGGGGAAGATGTGTTACCTCTTTCTTAGAATAAACCTCATCCTCATTAGTGAGCTAAAAAAATGCGTGTGCACTTTCTTCTGCTTTCTGTTGCTTAGAAATAAAGAGCAGTGGTATTAAGCTCTAGTGCCATTACAGTCGATTTGCAATAGCCTGTTTACACCAGCTGAGGAACTGGCTCATAATATTGTTTAAATATGATGACAGCCCAGAAAAATTCCTGATGAATGACTCACCCAGTTGTGGAACCAAAATTCATTCCTAACTCACTATGGCTACTACATTTATAAAGAAGGTCATGGTTGGCTTTATGTTGAATATAGTACTCTGAGGATTTAATTAAATGGGATTTAAAATTATGAATACCAAAGCCAGAAAGGACATATTGGATAATCCAGTTTTATTTTACAGTAATTGCTTATACAAGTTATGATTATATTATTTAGAACATCCTGAATCTCAGTGGAAGTCCTTGTGCATTTAATTAATCATGAGTACAAAATGACTTTAACAAACCAAAGCCATTAAGCCCTCCTTATATAGTCTTTTCAAATGGAAATTGACAACATTTTCATTTAAATTGTTATCATTTTTGTATTTTTTAAATGAAGAAACAACCTAAGTAACACTGGCTTAATAACCAGTTTCCTTGTGAGATTTACTTAGTAGTTTTAAGTGGATATTTCATATTTGGATTTTGATCCAAGTTTTTTGTAGCTTGATTTTCACAGGTTCTCACTTCAGGGTAGCATGATGTCCTCTTAGCTAAAGTTTTCAGAACTTTACATTTCTAATCACAAGAAATGCTGGCTACTGTTTCTGTGTCTTTGCTGAGGTCTACAGATTTATAAAGAAAGATGAAAGACTGTGGTGATGGTAAATTTTAAAGATCAAGAGGATATTTAATCTTTACTTAGCTGAAAGACCAGAAGACCAGCTTATTAGTGTGTATCTCAGCATGATGGTCATCATGATGTACTTGGTAACTTCTTCTGGACCAGGCCTATTATTTTTGTTGCTTCTCTTAAGCATTTTGAGATGCTGCTGACTACAGTTTCCAGAGCCACTCTGGGGAAAAGAGGGTATTCAGACTGTGACATCAAAGCAGCTCTAACTCACAGGGTATAGGATGGGTCAGTGAAAAGCCCATAGTAAGAGTTCGTTTCCCTAATAGTTTGTGAGTCATATGGATATAAATGTTTTTCCATATGGACAGATGTGGACCTGTTAGAGCAAGTCCAGAAGAGAGCCACAAAGATGATTAGAGGATTGGAGCACCTCTCCTATGAAGAGAGGCTGAGAGAGCTGGGCTTGTTCAGCCTAGAGAAGAGAAGGCTCTGGGGAGACCTTAGAGCAGCTTGCAGTGCTTAAAGGGAGTCTACAAGAAGTGTGGAGATGGGCTTTTTACAAGGGCTGTGTACAGGGGCTAGTGACAGGACAATGGGAATGGCTTTAAACCGAAAGAGGGTAAATTTAGATCAGGTAACAGAAAGAAATTCTTCCCTGTCAGGGTGTTTAGCAGTGGCACAGGGTGCCCAGAGAAGCTGTGGCTGCCCCATCCCTGGCAGTCTTCAAGTCCAGATTGGATGGTGCTTGGAGTCAACCTGGTCTAGTGGCAGGGGAGTGGGAACTAGATGATCTTTAAGGTCCTTTCCAACCCAAACCATTCTATGATTCTATGCGAGAGCTGATAGCCATACCAGTAAGGAGCTTCTTTCCAGTAATTCCTTTCACTAAATGCATTTTACTCCATCCTGTTTGTCTATGAAAAGTGATTTAAGCTGGTTACCATCAAGAACATGGTACAGTGGAAGCACTCTCTGGCAGATCATAATATGCAGTATTAAACTGTGTTTACTCACATGTTCATCCACATTGGCGGTTTGGGCAATTGTGAAATATAAGCATATTAAAACTTAAATTCAGTAGGGCTCATAAAAGATAGGTTGCTATTTGTGCTGTTTAATTAATTCTTCTATATGACTGAGAAATAGATGAGAATTTACTGGAGTCTTTTGATATTCAGTATTGCTGTGTCACAGTATGTTGAGAATAATGAATAGGACATTCACTTTGGAGCAAAGAACATTAGTTTTCTTACTCAGAAAGCAGGGAAGCCAGCTGGAGAGGAGAAAATTGCCAGGTAGATTGTCGACATAAAGGCAAAGGTAACATGCTGATCATAACCAAGGGAAATATGAAGATAATAACAGAGGATGATAGCAACCCAGCTGAGGAGAAGAGGGGGGTCTGGAAGATCAAGTGCTCCCAAGCTGTGCACAGCTATTATGCAGATGGAGGGACACCTCTGCTCATGCAGAAAGGAGCTGGCTTATTTCCCACGTAGCAGAATGTGTTAACTCCAACCTTGTACTAAATAAGATCAGGCCTTGTTTTCTCCCTATTATCAGGATTATATATTTCTTGACAGATTACCACACCACTGCCTTGTTATAGTGGATATATCATTATTTATTCCTCTTTGTCCTCCCTCCCCCTTCCTCTTGGCTGTGGGGCTCTGCAAGGTGCAGGCAACTGTCACACCAGGTATATGTGAATCTTTGAGATGCATGATGAGGAAAGATGGAGTGATCACTTCTTGCTGCTATGTTTACTCTGTTTTCTGTCTTCATCAGGCTCGTTTGCAGTGAGATGCTTTCGTGAGCGTTTCCCATCAAGGATCCCAGGAGGCGCGAGGGTAGCTGTGGTAGCCGTACTGCTGCCCAGCAATGACAGAAACCTTGGATAATCTCCCTGACTCCAGCAGCTCATCCTGGAGTACCTTTCCTCCATAATACACCTAATCCTTGAAGCCTATCCCAGCTCCTATCAGCCATCTGCCATCACTGGCGGGTGAGGAGCAAGGAAGAGGAGATGAGGAGGGGGAGAGGAAGAAGGTCAGGAGGGAGAGAGGAAGTTCTGGATGGGGAGATGTCAGTGAAGAGCTCCTAGTGACAAGATGTGGTGGAGAATTTTGTCCTTCCCTGGAAATCAGCTTGCTTTTAACAAGTGTTGTTTCCTATTTTTCTAATTCTCCAGCAATGGTGGCTATGTGGCTATGCAAACATTTTTTTGCCAGTTTATTTTCTAAGCCATAGTAATTGTCTTAAGAACAGTTTTGAAATGAGAAATTTCCCAAAGTGTTTTTTCTTCATCCTTTTCTTTTTCTTCTACTTCTTTTCTTCTCCTCCTTGTCTTGTTTGTTTTGTTTTTCATTGTTTTGTTTTGTTTATATATATGCGTATACATATATTACCTCACTGGGACTAGGATCTGCACTTAAGATGTCTTCTGGGCTAGGCTTAAATCAGTGTCCTAACTCAAACTTGAGTGACTCATAACCTCTTGTGACTTATTAAAGCTTGCCTCTGGAGAGAGAGGAAAAAAAGTTCTTTGCAATGTGATAAAAGTCATTAGGCATTATCCTGTATATTTATGAAGGTGACTCACACAATATTTTGAATCTCAGGAACATAAAATGTATCATCGAATGCAGAAGTTAAAATAATACAGCAAGCGCTCTTATTAATTACTATGCAAAAACCCTGATATCAGACCAGTGTCTTGCTTAAACATACACTATAAAGCTCTGCTTTTGCCAGCAACCTTTTTTCTCCTTTTTTTTTTAAACAGTAAAACAGTCTCCTTCTCCTAGAAAAAAAATTTGCATTGGAGAAAGACTGCAACTATCCCCCCAAAGCAATTTTCCATTGTTGGCTACTCACTCATGTTACAGAAAAGATAGTGAAGTGTGACTAGTTAGACAAAGATTTTCATTACCATATTCTGTAAAAACAGAAGTCTTGGGAAAATTCAGGTCATTGTCTTTGTAATGGTAAGTATATTTCCTCTCACACAACTCTTACCTGTCAGAAAGGATGATTCAGGAGTGGTAGCCTCTGCTCAGAACCCCTGATATGCTGGGAAAGATATGCAGAACCTGAGCATCATAGGAATGGCCACAGAGCACAGACACTTTAGGTATTTTTGAACTGAATTCCTTGTTTATTGCTTTTTCTTTCCCCTTCTAATAGCCTAACCATGGACACTAAGGGTATGCAGCAATTTTCTTATTGCTGCGATGGTTCCTTTAGCTCAGGTGATGCAAGCACTTAATATTTAATGCACAGTTGTGTCCACAGCTCTCCCTCCCAACCAATGTTATTTATACAGTCTGGTTATAGAAATCCTGTCAGCATCATTCCTTTCTGTTATGTTAAGATGTCTAATAGCGAGAGCTTATTAACTTGTGCTTTATTAGGTTTTGTGCCTTTACAACTAAGTCATTAGATACAACCATTATCCTAGCCTCCTTTTGTTTCTGTCTCAAGATCCATCTTTACTATGATATCCATGCTTAGTAAGAGTGCTTAAGTAGGCAGCCTGCAAGTGATTCACTTGTATCTGTTGTCCACTTGTTTAATGGAATAAAACCCCCTAGATCTTTATTGCTTCTAGCTGGTTCTCAGACAATGGCTTTGACAATCTTGTGTTCCAATTAGTTGCCCTCAGGTTCAGCATCCTTCTTCTACAGGTTTCCTGCATTGCTATTTTCTTGACTGTAGTAGTTTTGAGGCAATGGATATTTTCTGCTTATGTTCATACAATAATCAGCATGGTGAGATCTCCAAACTACTTGGGGCCTGTGGCTGTTACTTGCTTAATACTGATATACATTATATATAAATCCAAACAGTTTGGAGAGGTTAGTGGGGATATTCTAGTTTTTACATTGTTGCTTAGTTTTGCCACACTGCGTAGTTGTTTTATATTACCTTCATTAACAAGCAACTGCAATGCTCAGTTCAGGTTTAAGATGTGGTAAGTACTTTAGAGAAAAACTCCGTATCTGGACACAGGTAGTTCAGATTTTACTTAGAAAAGGCGAAACAAGTGGAACCCTGTGTATATATTGACATTTTCTTTAGTAAAATCAGTAAAAGGATTTCCTGAAAAAATTATCTTTTTAAATTTAATTTTTACCTTCAAATGTAAGAATTTATACAGATATTTGCTAATACTCTGATTGTACTCTGGTATCACACTGAAATGTTCATTAGCTTGAATAGCTTTACAGGGGCTTTATTCTGATGCAAGTAAAAGAGGCAGCCTCTGACTTAAAAATAGTTCTAGAATTGTTATTCTGTTTCTATTCCATCTGACATTTTTCACTGAGACTCCCATAGCATGGCAGGTTGGACTACACCAACAAAACCCTCTCAGAGGGCAAAGGTGAATTCATGTGTAACAGCATGTTTTTCTGTTGGTGATTTTGTGCACTCATTTCTGGTTAAGAAATCATTCAAGACCATAACAATGCTTCTAGAAATTAGTAAAATCTATTGGTACATGAAATCTTACTTTAGAAGTTGTGCCTTACAGATATTAAAAATGAAATCTGCCATGGAACCATGAGTAAAGCTTTTTACAAAGCATTTGTTTGATGTATAGTTGTTCCCTAGAGAGAAGAGTATCCAAGAATGAGCTCTGAGTACATGAGTGCACTTGGCACATCCTAGAATAATGTCAAAGCTTCGCTGGCTCCAAGGGGGAGCTTTGCTTTGACAAACTTAGTTCCAGTGCCTTTTGCTTAGAATGGATTCAGGGAATTTGGAAGTATATGAAAAGAATATATCAGCACAATGATACATACAATGAGAGAAGGCATCCATTAACAGGAAAGGGAAGAAGAACAAACAAGTTCTTGTTACAGTTTCCTTAGAAATTTGCTTCGTTTTATCACCTGAGTGTATCTCTACCTCAATCTTTCCAGCAAGCAAATGAAATTACTCCAGTTGAACTGTCAATACAGAATGATCCTGAAGCGTATTTTCAGAGGGAACTGTGTTACTATCTATATTTGTTGTGTGGATGCAGTATGCTCTGCCTAATGTGTATTTGTGACCTGTCTGAGAGCTTGCTTTCAAGTCCTGCAACATTCAAGAGCAACCAGTTCATATTTTGCTCATGATACCTTCCATTAAGTCAAAGAAAACACGGCTTGGGAGCTTCATGTTTCCGGCTCATTGAAATACTAAATGGAGGCACCTGGTGGGTGAACTGTTTAATGCAGGAGTAATCTATCAGTGGGAGTGATGCATAGCCAAGGTTCGTTGTGATGGAACTGATTAATTAGGCAGCCCAGGTGTGGGCTGTGCCTCTGTAGCTCTGCCTTGGGATTTACTTCTCTAGAGTTGAATAGGGATGTGCTTGCACTCCCGTGTCAGTCCCAGCCTCTCCTCACAGGAGGCCACTGGAAAGATTACAATGCTCTCAGGGTGCAACACACAGAGAGAAAACAACAAATAGCTCCAGAAAGACTGGGTGTCACTGCTCTTGGATGTAGGGAAGTACTGTCTGTACAGACATAAGGTGACATTCCCAGCTGGTTCTGCTGCATAAAAATGTGCAAATTAAACACTCTTGCCCAAGCCACTGAATGTCTTCAGTCTCCATTGAGTTTCTTTCTTTAGCAAAAGGCACACTGGCAGGGTGACCCATGGTGTCTTGCAGGATGTGACCAAAAGTGAGCATGTGACTAGGATCCGTTACCAGAACTCTTCCAGTCTGAGCAGATCAGCTGCAGAATTAGGATCCAAAATCTAGGGAAGTGATGGTAGTGTTCCCTGAGAGAGTCAATCTGACAAGTAAAGGTGTATTCCCTAACTTACTTATTATCTATCTATCTATCTATCTATCTATCTGTCTATCTATCTATTTTTAAGTAATGAGCTCTTCATATAAAATATGGAAGTTATCCTGGAAGAAAAGAGTTCAGTTTTCTTCACCTGCATGTGTTCTAGCTCTTCTAGTGTTTTACAGGACATGAGAACCAAAGCAGAATTCTGTGGCTATAAATTAGAAATAGGGAATTGCTGGGTATGCTGAAGTGGAAGAGAAGAGTTTACAGGTCATGGAAGGAAGGGCTGGCCACTTGGGAAGAATATAAGGCTGCTGCTAGAGGATGTAGGAAAGCAGCTAGGATGACTAAGGCCTCCTTGGAATTAAAGCTGGCGAGAGGGGTCAAGGACAGCAGAAAGAGCTTTTTCAAATACATGGCAGATAAAACTAACACCAGAGGCAATGTAGGCCCGCTGATGAACGGGACGGGTGCCCTGGTGACAGAAGATACAGAGATGGCAGAGTTACTGAATGCCTTCTTTGTCTCTGTCTACTCTGCCGGAGGCAGTCCTGAAGAGCCCTGTACCGCTGAGACCTCAGATGAAGACAGGTCAACGGAGCGGTCTGCCTTAGTCGATGAGGAATGGGTTAAAGACCAGTTGAGCAATCTGGACATCCATAAATCCATGGGTCCAGATGGGATGCACCCGCGGGTGCTGAGGGAACTGGCGGAGGTCATTGCTAGACCGCTCTCCATCATCTTTACCAAGTCTTGGGAAATGGGAGAGGTGCCTGAGGACTGGAGGAAAGCAAATGTCACTCCTGTCTTCAAAAAGGGCAAGAAGGAGGACCCGGGTAACTATAGACCGGTTAGCCTCACCTCCATTCCTGGGAAAGTGATGGAACACCTTATCCTTGGTGCCATCTTAAGGCATATCAAGGATAAGAGGGTTATGAGGGGCAGTCAACATGGCTTCACCAAGGGGAAGTCATGCTTGACCAATCTCGTAGCCTTTTATGAGGAAATAACACGGTGGATGGATGATGGTAGAGCGGTGGATGTGGTCTACCTTGACTTCAGCAAAGCGTTTGACACGGTCTCCCACAGCATCCTTGCAGCTAAATTGAGGAAGTGTGGTCTGGATGATCGGGTAGTGAGGTGGACTGTGAACTGGCTGAAGGAGAGAAGCCAGAGAGTTGTAGTCTATGGGGCGGAGTCTAGTTGGAGGCCT